CTCCAGCTCGCGTCCCCTCCTCGGCGGGCGGGCCGAGGGCGGTGCCCTCTTGTGCTGCTCCGCCCGCCGGGCCATCCACAGGGGCCGGCCCAGCCGGGCGGGGGTCTGCGTTGAGGCCGCCTCCGAGGCTCCGGGGAGGCGGCAGGGGGCGCTTGGAACGTGCTAACCTGCGCTCCCTCTGCTCAAAGGCCGGGAACTGAGAGGGGCAATTGGGGCCAAGCGGGGGCGGGTCCGCTGGCACGTGGAAGGGCCGGGCCAGGCCCTCAGCGCCCAGTGCCGGAGCAGGAGGAGCCGGAGACGTTGGGGCTCAGCAGGGCCTGGGGCCGGGGTCTGCTGAACCGTTTAATCAGATTCTTTGCGCTCAATCTCTCAGGAGTGGCGCCCTCTCTTGCTTCTCCGGAGGGGCCAGACGGGCCTGGCAAGGCCCTTCTGCTCCGTCGAGGGTGAGAAGCAAAGCTGAAGGGACTCGTTGGGAGACGCTAGGCCCAGACAGCGGGCGTGAGGGGGTGATGCTCGGAACTGAGACTCTAGATCTCTTTCGTCCTCTTTCCTCCTCCTTCCCTTACCTGCTGGTCCTCTTGGGAGTCGCACCTGGAGTAACCCGGCCTGTGGGGTGCACCAGGGTGGAGGTGGGGAGGGAAGGTGAAGGGCTGAGGCCGGTGGGAAGAGATGTCTAGGTGCCGGGAGGCCGCTCCTGGGAGGAGGGTGTGGGCGTACAGAGGTCGCTTTTCCTTGGCAGGTCCCAAGGAGAAACTCGAGTAGCTACTGACGTCTCACCACCATGGGGAACAGCCTGCTGGGGATCTGCATTCTCTACCAGGGTCTAAAGAAGGATAGAGCAGAGGGTGGGGTGAGCACAGAGTGGATGGGCAGTGTAAGAGATTGTGTCAGAGGAGAAGCTCGGGCCCAGGAAACAGGCAGTGTGCGGGAGAAGGCAGGATCAGGATGAGGGGGCGTGTGGGAGGCACAGGCGGTGCCCAGGAGGGAGGACGGTGCCCAGGAAGGGGGCAGTGTGAGAGGAAGGGGCAGTATAAGGGAGGAGCTGGTATTCGTGGGAGAGGATAGCGCCAGGATGAAGGGGCATGTAGATCAGCGTCTGGAGGGAGAAGGCAGTGGTGGGGCAACAGGTAGTACCAAGCGGAAGGGGCAGTGCTCCGGAGGAGAGCAGTGTGATGAGGTTAATGCCAGGCTGAAGAGATCCTGTGGAAGAGAGTAGGTCCAGGGGAAGAGGGCAGTGGTAGGGAGGGTGCGGTACCAGTGGAGGGGACAAGTGCAGGCTTTCCTTTTCCCCATAGTGACATCATGGCAAATTCCCAAACTGTACAAACCCGGCTCAGGTGACATCCAGCAGGGCCAAGTCAGCCGGGGCCGGGCTGGGGGACCTCGGTGCCAGCTGGAGGGACTGGGCCCCGCGCTCTGCAGGGTCAGCGCGCTGGGGGCGGGGTTCTGTTCTTCCTGCCCTCCGCGAGGACTGTGCCCTCGGCGGGCACGCGGACCAGCAGGATAGGGCTAGGGCCGGGGTTCTCTGGGCCAAGGATCAAGGTCCCTGGCTGGGGTAGGCTCGCAAGCATTCTGGTCTTCCCAACCCGGACTCTCAAGAGGGCGCGCTAGAGCCTCATCAGGGAGCGAGAAACCGCGCCACCACGGCCGGAGGTGGGACTAGTCGTGTCCCCGCCCTGGGGCGGAGTTATATGGCCCTGAGGCCCGCCCTAAATCCTGAGGACTCTCGGAAGCAATCGTTCGGGGCGGAAGTTAGGAAGCCCCGAGAGCCAGGCAGCGGAAGTGGTGGCGTTACTCCTTGTCGGCGCGCATGCGTTATTCTAGTCACTTGCTGCCACTCTGTAGGCGCTTTTACCATCCCTCCACGCGAGGGGAAGCGCGTACCCTTAGTCGTGGTAGCGGTCTCAGCCACTCTGCTACTCTCGTGGCTGTTTCACCATGGCGGGCATCCTGTTTGAGGATATTTTTGATGTGAAAGACATTGACCCGGAGGGCAAGAAGTTTGACCGAGGTAAGTGAGGTGTACGTAGGGGCGGTTTAGGGGAAGGGGCTAACCTCCTCGGGGACACGCCCCTGGGCCCCTTGTCCACCCCACCCACGTGGCCTGCCCCTACCGGCAGTTCCTGATAGAGGACTCTCCCTCGGGAAACATTTTATAGATGGACAACGGAGACTCGGAACTCTGCCTGGCTTCATATATGCTGTGCCCTGTGCCTGGCTGGCTTTTTCTCATGGTGCTGATAAACTCCTGGGCACCTTTCTAATCGCTCCTCACTCTGAGCTAGGCGCTGTATCGAGCACCTTACACACATTTTGTCCTACCTATTCCTTTCAAGAGCCTCCATGAAGTAGGTGGTGACTTACCCAGTTTGCTCCTAGAAGTTAAGTAGCCTACCCAAGGCGACATTGTGAGTAATCAGACTTCAGAGCTTGTATTCTTGTAGTGTCCTAAGAATTTTTAGTTCTTTGTGACGTCCTCCCTTAGTCAGAATTGACTGATTGCTATACACGTCTTTATTCTGTTACTGATCAACGATTATTGAAGTGTTCCTCCTTGATGTCTCTTCCTTTGCTTGGAGACTGAGATGTTCTTCGAGACAAACACCAGTTCTTACAAGTCCCGATAATCCACTCAGCACAGCAGCCAGCACCAAAAGACAAACCTTTGGATGAACGAATAACTTGCCCAAAGTCAGGTTGTTTCTTAATCACCCAGGCAGGCCTAGAACCTGGATATTATTTATTGCCAGAGGACCTTTGTTTTTTTCTGGGATTCTGTCCACTTGCCATAGTTTTCTTCCCTTTCTTTCTGACATGTCTGGTTCTGCATTTCTCTGAGAGCAGATGAGAGGCTAGTGGATGCAGACTGGGTTAGACTGAGTGTTCAATTACATATAATCCCCCAAAGCGGGGTCTGTAGCATTTGCTGGAGCCTGGCAATTACCCATGCCACTCTTTTCTCTGCTTCCCTCCAGTGTCTCGACTACATTGTGAGAGTGAATCTTTCAAGATGGACCTAATCTTAGATGTAAACATCCAGATTTACCCTGTAGACTTGGGTAAGTATTGAACACAGACAATAGCAGGAGGCTTTTTGACATTTTAGCCGTTCTTCACTCCCAGGTATTGCCATTATTTTCAGGTGACAAGTTCCGGTTGGTCATAGCCAGTACCTTATATGAAGATGGTACCCTGGATGATGGTGAATACAACCCCACAGATGATAGGCCTTCCAGGTGAGGAAGTGAAGAAGGGAGCACTTGAAATATGCCTGAAGATTAAGTAGATAAGTAGTATGAAAAGACCCTTATTTAATTTGTGGAATAAATGATTATCAGCAGAATCTGAGTAACCTTAAGGAAATTGCTACACTTAAGAATTTGAACAGCCAGGTGTTTATCCAAGCAGTAATTACGTGCTTGTGGGTTGTAGTTTATTGATGGCTAAGGAAATGACCACTGAGTGACCTAAGCTGTGTGAACCTTGCATCTTGGGAGAGAGTTTGGTGTGATGGAAAGGCTTTGGAATTCCACGGAGTTCAAATCTCAGCCCTACCACTTATTTGTTGAACAACCTAACCTCTTTCAGCCTCAGTTTCCTCACCAGTAAAGTATGCATGGTCCTGCTTTGCTCATTGGGTTGCTGTGAGGACTAAATGGCATTGTATCTGGAAGACGTCCGTTTTCATAATGTTGACGCTTAGTTATCAGTTACCATTATTAAAGGGCCTCTCGTTATTGTTAACTACTTTTTTAAGAATAACCTTGCTATTGTTGTTTCACAGGGCTGACCAATTTGAGTATGTAATGTATGGGAAAGTATACAGGATTGAGGGAGACGAAACTTCTACTGAGGCAGCAACGCGTCTGTAAGTTCCATGGTCTTGTGAGACCCTTGTCCCCCTGCCTTGGGCCATGCTCTGAAAATCTGGGCCGTGCTCATGTTTCCTGTGTCTCTCCCCAGGCACCTCAGACCTAGGCAGGACCCAGAAGGGGACTGTTCTGGGAACAGTTTCCAGTCTGAAATGTAGGCTGCTCACTTGGCCCTTTGTCAGGACCTCAGGGCCCAGGGGTCCAAGTGAGAAGCCGATGATCTTGCTATGTGAAGTGCAAAGGCAGGTTGCTTCCCCAGGAACTAAATGCAGCATTAAGTGATTAAACTGCTAGACTTTTTTGGTTTTGTTTATTTGTGTGTGTGTTTTGCTACTCTGCAATCCAATCCCTAGTTCTTTGGTTTCCCTGCCCAACTATTTTAGTTGTTCTTTAAAATCTTATTAAAACAATATGTGCTCTTGGTAAGAAATTTGAAAAGCAGAGAAGTAATGTGAGGAAGCAAAAAAAAAAAAAAAAAAAAAAAAAAAAAAAAAAAAAAAAAAAAAAAAAATCACCTATAATTCCATACCCAAAGGGAATCTTTTACATAAACATTTTTGAGTATTCTAGGTTTTTTCCTGTGTACTTTTTTTTCTTTGAGATCATGTTGTTTGTTCTCTTTTTTTTTAAGTATTTATTTAGTTTTGAGAGAGAGAGTGCAAGCAGGGAAGGGGGAGAGAGAGAGAGAGAGAGAGAGAGAGAAACAGAATCCCAAGCAGGCTCTGTGCCATCAGTGCAGAGCCCAAGGTGCATCTCCACCTCATGAACCGTGAGATCATGACCTGAGCCGAGACCAAGAGTTGGACGCTTAACCGACGAGCCATTCAGGCGCCCCTTCTTCTGCTCTTTTTGCTTCAAGTTATGTAAAATGGGTTTCCCTATGTCAGTTTAAGGCTTTTCCTAAACATTTTAATAGCAGCATAACATTCCAGTAAATGGATCTATCTTAGTTCATTTGATCATTTCCATTACTCTGGGCATGTAGCATTTTCCACCTTTGTTTGATATCCGGAATACTGCCATGCACATATCTGTGCATTCGTCTTTGTCTGAATTTTGGTTCCTAATGACCAGACGCTAGAAGGGTGCCTCTCTTTCTTAAGCTGGGATGGGGAGCCACTGGGTAGCCGCTCCAGAGCTTAGACTCATGGGACTGGGGCCTTCCATTTCAGCTCTGCCTACGTGTCGTATGGGGGCCTGCTCATGAGGCTGCAGGGTGATGCCAACAACCTGCACGGATTTGAAGTGGACTCCAGAGTTTATCTGCTGATGAAGAAACTGGCCTTCTGAAGCACCCAGGAAGCCAACCTTGCTGCTTAGTCACTTAGGGCTTGGACATTCATTCATTCAAGCCTGAGGAGCGGTAACTGTTGACCACCTGTTCAGGAGGGGCTGTCTGTCTGCCCACTGTGGGTGCATCTTTAGGTGGTCTGGACTCCATGGGAAACTTGCCTGTGAAAGACCCAATGGGAGAGCTTAAAATGGATGAGAAGTTGTTTTGTGTGTATATGATTTTTAAATTAAACTTTACTTTTTCAGATCCGTTTCTGCCCCGCCCTTAAAAAAAAAGTCTTTTGCATTTACCCTAAAATCATTTTTTCTACTTTGCCTGTGGTATATTATATTTCTGGTCCACAGCCAGATGATCACATGTCAATGTAGGATCTATCTCAGCCTTTTGGTATCTGGGTTTAGGGTTGTCTAAGCCTTCTGGGTAACTACCCCAACATTTATCCTCCAAAGTGATTTTCTGTCTGGGAGAGTGTTGTGCTTTTGGCTCCTGAGGGCACCCCAGCACCGGAAGATACCACCCATTTGGCATAGAATTTTGAATGGGCAAGGAGCCCTGCTTGTGTCCTTCCAACACTTTAAGTCTCTTAGGAAGTCAGATCACGTTGATTTAAATGAGTCACTTGCGTATCCTGGAAATGTCCATCATTTTTGTGGAAGCTTTGGGTGGAAGCTTTTAGATACAGGCATGGGACATGACTATGAAGAGAATAGAAAGAACAGATTTGGTGGTTCTAGGAACAGGTGGAGGAGCTAGGTGTCTGCTCTACATTGCATTACTGCAATGCAGGGAGGGAGGGTGAGTGGTGGGGGTTCTCACCAGTACCACTGAACAGGCAGCTGCTGCACAGACCAGTGAAGTGGACAAGGCAGCAATACCAATGAGGCTGGCAGTCCAGTTCTAGGACAATGGAGCAGCCTGACTGCAGTCCCTAACTTAAAACTGGGCAAAAACAAAATGGAGGAAATGGTGATGCTTGTAGAAGCACTCCAGGATATGAGCTGGCTTTTTAGCCTGGCATTTGAGGTCTCTGAGAAAGTCTCTGGACTCTTATTTCCCCTAGGAGATTCAGGGTAACAATCCAGAAAGATTGTGAGTGTGTATTAAGCAGTTTTCTCTTTTGATCTCCT